TCTTTTATTGCTTCCGAATATGTTTCACTTGGTTTTATTTCAAACATTTCATTTTTAATACTTCCTAAATAATAATGATAATGTTTAATAATATCATCAATTGATTGTTGAATATTTGGAATTGTTTCTATTTCTTCTTTAAAGAAATGAATGTTCTTGTTTATTAACTCATCCATTTTAATTTAATAATTATCAGATTAAAATCAGATTCATAAATAATTAAATACACGTTTATAACACATTATTTTATTTATTACTTTTCTATCTTTTCTCTGATGATTTTATAATTGAATATATCATTAATTGCATCTAAATATCATACATTTAAATATTTATATTTATTTCAATTATTTTGATGTTTTCATTTCAAGATTGTATTTGATTAATATTATTTATTTCTTGTTTTATTTTCATTTCTTTATTCTATTTATTATTTATTTAATTTATTTGTTGATTATTCTCATTTATTCATTATATAATATATGATTTATATTATTGAACTTCTTTTCATTGATTTGAGAAATTATATTTATTTTGATGATGATTGAATTGATAATGAATCATAATGTAAAATTCATCATTTTAATATATTATTTATATTCATTATATTTATATCATATGATTATATTCATCATATTTTATACATTATCTATGTTGATTCATTCTATATTAAAATATTTTAATATTTCTATTACTTATTCATGATTCATTGAGTTATATAATTTATTAATATCATAATATGAATCTATATATTTTGTATATTTATCTTCTTTCTGTTGATTTAATTTATAATTATTCATTATTCATTATTTATCATCAAGAAATTTTAATTTACATCATATTTGATTTTTATTAATTTTAAATGATTCGTTATTCATATTAATTCTATTATCAATATTATCTTTTAATAATAATATAAATATTTTCATAATTACATTTATATAACTGATATGATGTTTATTAATAACGTCATTCATATTACTTCATTTGTTTATTAAATTGTTCTTCAGTTTACTATATTTAATTTGATGATTTTATTGAAATTTAATTATTTATTAAATATATTAAGAATATATTCTCTTGATGATAATATTCTCTTCATTTGGTATAAATATATAATGTCAATACTTGTATTATTTACTTATTTTCATTAAATTTAAATCATCTAATGTGATAATGGATATTGTTTGTAGGAAAAAGAAAAATAAATAACAAAAAGAATTAAACAATTAAACTATACTTCTATTACTGGTTTTATTACATTTTGTAATATTTCATTCACATCTGAATTAGTTCCACAGTGTTTTAATAGCTTATATACTTTTAGTGGTGCAAGAATTTCATCAATAAGACATTGATATAATTCCTTATACATGTTTTTCTTAATATAATCAATAACATCTTTTTGTTTACTATTTTCTCTTACAATATTTTTTAATTGTGGGAAACACTCTGTTAAAGCATCTCTTGCACTATCATATGTTTGAGATTGAACTTCTTTTTGACTACTATCATAACAAAGAATTACAATAGTAAGAAGGATATTACAAATAACTGAACTACTTATTCCAAACAATTGAAATTCACTTCGTACATTTAAAGTAAAGAATATAATAAATACTAACAAAAATACTACTCTTAAATTTCTCATTATTGCTCTATTAAATTGATCTATTGGTGTTAAAGAAATTATTCCTTCAATTACATCTTCTGCACTTTCATCTACTCTT